GTTATGATTACTTTGGCCAACGTAAAGTTCTTTTCAGTCATTGCAAAAGCATAGGCATTGGGAAGGATAAATGGTAGTTTGAACATAAAGAAGCTTTCAGCTAAAAAGTGGTATTAACATGGAGTTAATTTATTTTTTTTAATAGTCACAGATATTCAAAACCAGTTGCACATTCTTTCAGAAACCAGACTTTTTATTTATTTATTTATTTATTTACTTACTTACTTACTTATTTTTGATAATACTTAAGATCCATGTTTCTCTGAAGGATTTTCCTGAAAGACTCATGAACGGTATTATTTACACACCTAATTTAGCTCCAGTGACGTCCCATACAGATGTCCTCAATGAGAAACAAACAGGATAAAAAATATTGAGGAAAACAGGGATCAGCTTTGGGAAGTATTTTGCAACATTGAAGAAACTGTCCTTGTGATATTAATGAAATGAAGTCTATGCATTATGATAAGGAAGACAATAAATAAACAGAGATAAAACTAATCCCAGGTTATAATCCTATTATAAACTCTTCCAGAAGGTAAAACTTTTCTCCAGACCTTGCAGGAAGGTGGGAAGTCATACTTCAAGAAAATACAGGTACAGTGTGGCATCTTCGGTGACACATTTTATTTTTGAGATAAACCAAAATTAATCAGAATAAATTAACACCATGGTGCTGTCAGATGCAATGAAGGTCAAAAGGCTTCATGATCACTGTTAGAAAACTAGAAAGAGAGAAAATCAGAGCTTTAATGGCACTTATAAGAATGTCTGCTCTGGGATTCCTGGAGCTGATGGTGCTGCCTTGTGTATCTCTGCAGAAAGGTAATTAGCACCATGGAGGATACTAAAATATCAGAATAAAAAAAAGACGACACCATGGTTAGCAGAAGAGAGATATTAATATTAGAGATATCAGAGTTCATGGCCACCACCCAGCTTCTGATTTGGTCAGGTACAGCCTGGGATTAACCCAGGCAAAAGGAAAGACATGACGAAGCAGACCAGCAGTTGAAACCCAGAATGTCTGTGGGAGCTCTCCTCTCTGATTCATGTGCTGGAAGAATGGTAGGGAGAAATTTTCCAGCTTCGTGAAAATGTTACTGAGCTTGCAAAGAGAAGGCCCTTAATTTCTGCACAACAAAATTCCCTGGAAAGAGAACTGTGATGAATTCTCACCTGGAAAAGCAAGCACCGTGGCACTAAATAAAATAATACCTGGAGGAGAGAAGGCTTGATTTTCATGTGGCCGGTACAAACAACTACACTAATCACCCTTTTCATCATCCTTACAGTGATCTTGGTGCTGCCATAGCTACTGGCCTTACAGGAACTACAGGGAGTATGTTCCCACTTATGTTGTCTACATTTCATGTACCTTGCAAAGTGCCAGGGGAAATGTACTGGTGAACTGAGTCTCACTTTCAATCAACATATAGACACTTCTTAGGCAATGGAATCTCAACAAAGTTCTTTTTATGTACTTTTTGTGCAAAAATAATAATTGCAAAAACTTTAATCAGATTTATTTATCTGCTTTCTGGGATAAACTAGATACAGGAACAAGCCTGCTATAATTCGGTGTGTGATATTTCATTGTAAAATAATAATCAGAAAGCTTTTTTAAAATGTAGCAGAAAAAGAAGGCTAGATCTGCAGAGAATACAGATAATGATTTTAGGAAGGGAAAGGTTGAAATCCAAAGAGCAGGGCAAAATCAGAAAACAAATGGGAAACTGTATCTACTGTGGTAGAAGACATGAAAATAAATTTAAGCTTGGGGGAAAGATTCAAAAGGAAAGGACAAAACTAATAATTTATTTACCAATTCAGCCATTTAAAATTCTAATTTATGTACAAATCTATCCCACTCTACAGTGTGTGTAACAAAACTTTCTTCAATACAATATAAAGACATCAAGTGCTTGAGCTTTGTCCTCCTCTCCCCTGGAAGCACTGAAGGTTATTTTATTAATCATTGCTCCTGCTTCAGATCTCCCCCTCCTGAAGGTGAGGAGGCAGTGAAAAAGCTCAGCAGAGGTCGTTATTTTCATACTTGTCTCTGATCTCTTTCTTTCAGACTGCCAGCAGAAATGGGTTTGGAAATACCTGAAGAGAAATGAGCTAATGGGGGAAATTAATTTTACCAGAGATTCCTGATCAGTTTAAAAAGAAAAATAAAATAAACATCGTTATCACTCAATACTCCCTTAAAAAAAAAAAAAAAAAAAAAAAGAAAACCGAACAAACAAAACCCCAAACTAACCAACACCAAAAAGTCCCCCATTTCTTTCAGAAGACTTTCTTTTCATAATGTTGCCAGCTGGAAAAAGGCCCAAAAGAGCTATCACTGTGTGACTCCTCTAATCCTGGTCCACGTTGGCAGGGAACGCAGCCGTAGAGCAGAGCGGTGCTGCGGCGTGAGCACAGCGATTCCCATCTGCTTCCCTGCAGAACCACACAGGCAAGGCTCTCAGGGGACTTTTGGATCTCTCTTGATGCAGCACACACAGCACTGGACATTACGGTAGCCTCATCTTTTCAGTTTGTTGTACTGTGCCTCTAAATACTGTGTTTATGAGTTTAATCACCCTCTTCTCCTCCTATTCAGTTTGACCCCACTGTTTACGCATGGTAATAATCATCTCACTTCATATTGCACGGGGCATTCATTTGTGCCTCCTATTAACATATGTCTTTGTAAACAATATTTTAACATCTCAGTTAAAAATGTTGCATTCACCCTTTCTCTAATATTGTTGAATAGTGATTCCAAACCATTTTATAAGGGTATTACTCCAGTGTTTCAAACACTGAAGCCAATGCACTCCAAGACTAATTGAATCACCCTGCTCATTAGTTTTATAGATTGGACTGAAAATCTCACCATAGTGATTTATAATCTAGCCCTATGTAAATTCCTCCAGAGAGGATATACAGCATCAAAATACTTGAGAACTTCAGAGTAGAACCATCTAACACATTATTTGATAAAACACTACAGGATTTGTTGAACATATTTCATCAACCTCATGTGAAACTTCATGGTAACATAAAATATTAAAAGGGAACAGCCTTAGAAACAACTCACAGCTACTCAAAGAAAAATAAAATAATGTTAAATGCAAATTTGTGATCAGAATGGTCAACTCAACAAGAAAGAGGTTTTCTACAGTGGACAGGTAGATCTATGTACGTACGTCTGTTTACATGGTAATCACCACCTTAGTAATCCACTTTCAATAAAACCAAATTTATGAGCATAAAAAACCTATTGAACAAAAGGATTAGCTTTAGAGAGACAACTAACCACTAAATTGTTATATACATACTGGAATTGTAACACAAGCAAAACCATCAGTCTTAAATTGGGAATCTGAAATCACAAAGCATCCTGTACTTGATTTATTATTTAAGTGCGTTGTTTCCTTTCAGTGCATTCTTAAATAAGATTGAGGGAACAAGAGTGGCATAGGAAAACAACAAAGCAAAAATGCCTGTTATTTCAGATGCTCTGAAATGTTAAATAAGTCTAAACACAGAAATCTCTGAAAGTTACTAATAAAAAAAAATGATGAAAAAATACATGCATAAGAGTCTTGATTCCAAATCTGTTACTCAAGAGAGTTTCTCTCGAGCTATAATATGAGACTTAGAGTCATAATTTCCAAATGGCACTTAAAATGCTGGGAAGGGATCCTAAATGACAGTTTCAGTTTTGAATTGAATATGATCAGGATAATAGAGTGCATGGAAGGATATGTCTCAGCTACAGTGAAGGATATTGCAACTTTCACAATAACTTTACTTTGAGAAGCTGATAGCATCAACAGAATTTGAGCTATAAAACTGGAAAGATATCAGATTGAGAAAAAAATAATGGATCTAATGGCAATTAGGTGAACACCTGTCAAAGGATCCTTGAAAGTATCTACATAACATTGCATCTTCTTCATTTGTTTCCATAAAGAATTAACAGGGCTGAGGTTACCACAGATTGCACAGTAGAGAAAAAAAGCAACCTGCAAGGTAAAGAAGCAGCAGGTAGAGATATGAACTATGCCAGTCAGTGATACATGCTGTGCTGTTCTCTCTACAGTTCCTGGCTGAGCTGCAGAGGTGAGTGCTGGGTATAAACCACAGCAAAGGAAGAGAAGTCACAGAAGAGACTTTAGATTGGCATAAGTACATTTTTTTTTAACATAGTGAAATGAAAATGTGAATTCAAATTCTCCATAGATTTTGTTTCTGTCAATACTTCATTCATATTTAATTTAAATTTCACAGTTTAGGTCCTACTAATCACAAGGACTAGTAGATTTTTTTCTGAAAAATTGAGCATATGTTATTCATCCCGACAATGCAACTTTAAAAAAAAATTGAGACATATTTGCAAAATATTGTTTATCAGTTCTGTATTTTAAAAAGCCCAAGAGAAAAAACAAGTAAACAAAGAAATCTAATCTGAGAGTACATTGGCATGTTTACTTTTTCTATCATGTTCTTCACCAGAAGTATTCAAAACAGTGGAAAAGCCACATCTTACTAAGGAGAAAAAATTATAAAGGAAGTGTAACTCAACACCTACAGTGCATTTAAAGTTATACGCATAAAATTTCCTATACACAGAATATGCATTACATAATTACAGTAGTCAGTTACCTCAAAATTGTAGTCGTTAAGTTACTCAAGGGAACATGACAATGACATTTTATTTTTATGTACTTACAAAAAAACAGCAGTGCAATTATAATGTAGAATAAACTACCATGGAAGATGCAATGTAGAAAAATGTATGACTAAAATGGATTTTTAGCTGTTCCAACAGTTACAAAATTCTATTTATCTTCATATACACTATCAAAAATGAGAATTTTAAAGAAAAATATAGCTAATCTTTACCTCCTCTAAGCAAGGCCAAAAATGGGAATAACTACTTGATACACAAAAGAACGTTCCTGCCTTGAGGGCTCCCAGCAGTTCCTAGAGAAAGAGGCCATCACACAACTTGTGCACCCTGGTAATATTTAAGTCTTCATGACTTCAGGTAAACTAAATAACCTATCCCTCAGTGCTCTCTCAGTGACCTATGACTAATGTGCTCTTCACCCAGGAATGGCCTCTATATAAATATTTCTCTTGCCTTTGTCTCCTAGTAGCTCAAGAGCTTCCTGGTGGACTGTGCTGGTACTGTCATCTTCAGAAATGCTCCAGAGGATAATGAGTCTACTCATGGATGCTATGACTCGTATCTACAGGCATCAAGATACAAAAGGCCAGTTTATGGGTAACACCAACCAGGACAGGACCACATCTGATGCTGGCTCCAATACGACCCCAGACAGAGTGACGAGGTTGTTCGTTGGAGTTCACCACAGTCTCACCTCCTGGCATGCAGCTCCTTGAATTCTTTTATTCCTCTTCTTGTCCTTTCCTAACCTCACAATTCAGTTACAACATGCTTTTGCAGAAAGCTGAGTGAGGATAGTAAAGGGTGGTGGCAGTCTGAGCATCCTATTGCAAGAGCACCATGGCTGTAGAGCATGTACATTGCAGATAAGCCACACCAGAAGGTTTTTACTGAGTGCCACAAATATACGTGCTTTAGGTGTCATGCCCAATATGCTGAGCTGTGGTGACAGTGCAAAATGAGTCAGAAATGGGTCACTGTGTAAATGTGCATAGCATCCTTCAGTCTGGGGACCTTCTCTGAGGAAATCCTTGATAGCAACTTGAGGGAGATGTACAAGTGAGCACATGGATTATCCTCACTGTGCTGGAAAGAAAGAAAAGACTACACGGAGGTTCAGGTTGTTTCCTCTCCATTCTAACAAGTCTAAAATTCCAAAGTCTATAACAGTGATTTACAAATGTCCAGATTTGGAGATGAAAGGTGTCTATAGTTCAGAAGGATGCTGGATATCAATAACTTCATGCTGTCATCACAAATGTTTCAGTTTTCAGACAGTCATGAAGAATCCTCATTTTAACCTATTTCTCTTCACAATAAATTATGATTAAAGTGATGACAATTTCCACAAATAATCAGAAATTAACTAACACTTGGATTGCAGGTGTTGATGTCTCAATTATTTAGTCAGGAGATGTCAACATAATCTTAGCAACAAAACAATAAGTCAATATTTTAAAGACACTTACACAAGCACATGTCCTTGGGTATATGAAATCAGACATACAGATTCACTCTGGACTCCACAATAAGACCAGTAGTGATCTGGATGAAATAAGAACTATAGTAAAGGATGATAGGTACTCTGCAATGTACAGGAAAAGATACAAAGATCTTGCACAAACCAGATAAGATTTCCACAGTAACAGTCTTTAGTAGACTTCCTTTTAAGCTACAGAGTTAATGGTGATGACCAGACCAGGTTTAATTGGCAGAGGAGACACAAGAGACTCTAGAGTACATCAGAGTTCCTTGAATTTATCCTCTGATGAATTGGTGAGGCATAGAGTTAAGCAGAGACTAACAATTCTTAAAAATAATCACTACCGTGACACAAATTGTAAATAATGGACAGAAGTGTCTGAATTTAAACAATATTTTCCCTTGCAAGATAAATTTCACTGTATTCAGAGAAGCCAGGTTCAGCTCACAGGATAACAGCTTTCCTCTTTTGATTCATGCATTCCAATTCACAAAGGTAATAAATACACTTCACACAATCCCTACAATGATTTTAATTGCTGAAGTAGTTAGCGACATTATTACAGCAGAGCAAACAGTTTCTGACTCTTGTAATACCCTGTCTGTTCATCTCATACGGAAATCCATGAAGCACCAATTAACTGGTATCTGGTTAATCTTTTGGCATTTTACTGTAATCAAGTCTATGAATATGATGCTGGAAGATTCATTTCTGGCATTGTTCAGGAAGATGCATATCTTTGAAATGTAGCTGATGAATCATCCAGCTACGGCCACTGTCTCACAATTCTTAGTGAAAAGTAATTGTCTATGGCTGGATTGGTGATTCATAAAATTAGAATATGTTCAATATGACTGGCTTTTTCTTCTCATAAAGTTGTTGCTACTATTTCATGAAGCAAGAGCTTTGATTTTAGTGTGACAGGGCAGGTCCTCAGACTGCCACCAGCTTTCATTATCCTCACTCATCTCTCTACATGTTGAAACGTATCTTTAGGTGCCCTCATCAACACTAATGCAAATTTGGATCAAATTTCAAAATTTAAAGCTTTGTAATGTGGTGGCTTCAGCACATTAAAAACAAAACAAAACAACCCCAAACCAAAACAAAACCCCAACATGTTAGAGATGGACATCTAGAAAGTCTGTCCAGCTGAACTCCCTTCCAACCTGAGAGTCACGGTTCCCATCTCATGGAGACATGAACATGTAAAGGCTGATCCGTGAGTGAAGGCTGGTCCATGACCCAGAGTGAAATGAGGCTGAGGTTAGGGTGTTTAGCTGAACAAGAATGCGAGGCAGAAATCCTAAGCCTGGAAATTTAAATTTAACTTTAATAGTCAGTTCTGGCAATAGCAGAACTGTCCATATTCTCCATTGTAACAGGGTCTGGAGGACCAGCATATGTATTGATGTTTGTACCTCAAGTACAGATTTTATAATCTGTAATAGTAAAATAATTGAACAAAACAAGGGATGGGAGAATATTTCTTCTATAAGATGCTGAAACATGTCTACAAAAGAAAACTTGCAAAAAAATTTGTATAGGAGAGCCATCAACATCTGGATTTAAGAAGTGTGCCCAAAAGCAGCATTCTTGGCTCTGTTACTGGCTATTTGCATCCATGACACTTTCCAAAATGGTTTAGCAAGTGTTCCTCACATATTTAACAAGATATAGAAGGCTTGTGAATCTTAATAAAATATCCTGCATCTGGTAAACAACAATAAATTATGCTGCCATTTAACACATCCTTGGCTTCATATCGTACAAAGAAATAATGTTTCAAAATATGTCAAAAATGTGTGTGAAAGGGTGATAATCTATTTTACCATTAATTTTCACATTGTCATTCTGTTGTTATTATTATACAGGAGATAATGTACTGATAATTTCAGTACAACACTATTATTTTTTTTCTCAGAAAGTTTTTATTCAAAATGGAAGACCCATCAGACATGACTAATAGAAAGAGTCCTCTGAAGTACTTGCAAGGGGTCAAGAAGATCAAGCAATGTAACACAGATCAAAAGGAAAGCGTAAATACAATTTTAAGGAAGCAAGAATGCACATAGACCCCAAAAGGAAGGAACAGGCAACAGGAACAAACTAATGACAATTAGCAGTTGTTCCTCGCCATTAACATAAAGAGTTTAATATACACCTTCATTAACTCAAGGCAGCATTATAAAGATTAGTTTATTGTTTGTATCATATAAAGTACGAAAGCAAATGCTGGACCACTTCCTCTCATTTCCTACTTTCATTTCCCTCTACTTTACATCCTCTTTTGCCTAAGAAGACCACCCTCAATACACTGGAGATTGGTGTAATTCCCTCCCAAACCCACTTTTCCACAGATCCCTTACCCAAACCTTGCCCCATATCAGTTTAAGAGACCAGCAGACGGCTCATCTTTCCCCTAGATAAATTTGATTCATGAATTCTCACCTCTACTTATGCCTTCCTCAGTCCCAGATATAGGCTTACTCAAAGCTTTCTCTGCTGTCCCTAAGGATGAATATTGTGTTAGCTGGGTCAACAATAAAGCCTTTCACTTTCATCTCCATATCAACACAGTGAATTATCACTGTCTGCAGCCATAGTTAAATCCTTATCTGATCTTTGTAATGATGACTGGAAGAGCTCCTCTGGGCTGAGTTTGTTTCATTGTGTATTGCAGAGCATCAGTTAGAAAGCTGAATAAATTATAAGTTGTAATAAACATTGCTCTTCAGGGAAAGTTTTTCAATGAAAGCCTATTGTTCCTCAGTTTTCAGTTTCAATAGTGTATGTATTTTTCTTGCCTTTGTTCAAATCAGTAAAGACTTTTAAGTATGTCTGAATAATTTAAACTTCTTAGTTTGCTATTTTCATGGAGTTTTCCCTTGGTCTCAGCTGAAAACTTGCAAAAAAATTAGTGATCGTGCACAACCCTTAGAAGAAAAATCTCTAATTACATCGGTCAGACCAATAGATCTTGGTAATCTGCATTGCCCAGGGGGCATGATGACATTT